CGCAAGTAGTTTTTACATTGCCAATCACAAACGTTTCGTATGCTAGTTATCCGTTACAATCAACACGGGACAACCTTTTCGCAAGTAGTTTTTACATTGCCAATCACAAACGTTTCGTATGCTAGTTATCCGTTACAATCAACACGGGACAACCTTTTCGTTGCGTAGTTTTTACATTGCCAATCACAAACGTTTTTTCCCGTAAATCTTCGTTAAAATCTCGTTGTTTAAACAACTACAACGAAATATTTCAACAAGTTCCATTAAGTCCATATCTCAGTACTCGTTCAAATATTTCCGAAACTTCGTACTGTCGGTAAGTTTTATGGACTTAGAACACTAAAATTCCGAGTTCGATTCCCTACGATGGATATAGCAGGTAGCTCAATGAAATGTTAAAATGGCGAATTTTGATTTCGGAAGACTACTAAAAATCCATTATTCATTTTCCAATTTTAGTTGTCCATGTAATTGGAGATTGGATGCGACTCAGCTTCCTCAGTCAACCAATCACAGTTTCTTATGTCTTTATGTCGCTGATCAGATACAACACCCCCTCCACAATCGACCAATTGCCATTTTTTTTTTTGCTTTTATAAGATGATATAAACCCTATAACCCATGTGCTTTCGAAAGGTGGACCTCATATTTTATAGGGCAAACTGGGAATACTTTTGCCTTTATGTCATTGATTAGATGCAACACGCCCTCCACAATCAACCAATCACGGTTTTTTTTGCCTGTATGTCACTGATCAGATGTAACACGCCTTCCACAATCAGCCAATCACAGTAGGTTATTTAAAAGCAGTAACAGGCTTTCAATAGATACCTCGTCTAGAAGTAAATTAGCCGGATGTGGCCTTGTAGCTTACATATCAAGTTGTGTATCGAGAGGTTCGAGGTTCGAGACGTGATGCCACTGAACAAATTGCGCTATTTCAATTCTAAGCACATTATAAAAATGGAAAGACAATCGAAGAACCGAAAACAAATCCTTTTTAGCGACGGGTCCAACTTAGTGGTTATAATACATTTGGTAATTGGTTCAAAATTACATGAATCGTAATGATCTCTAACCTGCCACTTAAGTCCACTGTGCATAAGGTGCCACCTGGTTGAGAAATCCATTTTTTAATAACTAAATTTCCATACCTGAACCAAATCAACATGAATAGCACCTGCCGGAAATTTTCTGAAGGTCTTTTTTTTTTTTTTTTAGATAACTCCCACAAGGCTTGATGGGTTTTCCTTTCGTTCTTTTTTTTAGGTTGAAAAGGCCTAAAATTATTGAATCTGTCCTACTGATATTACTAACCTCTAGCCTTTTTTGATTTAATTCTACCACTACAAAATCCGGGTCGTATTTTCGTAACACTTTTGATGGAGTAGCTACTGTAATGGTGAACTAGTGACGTTATGCATACTCTTGACCCAGATGATGTGATTGAAATTAGCTGCCGTAATGATGAATTAGTGACGTCATGCATACTCTTGACCTAGATGATGTGATTGAAAGTAGCTGCCGTAATGATGAATTAATGACGTCATGCATACTGTTGACTACTACTACTACTACTACTACTGTATAATAGTGATAACTTATTATGAACCATATGTATATGGTGTCCATTCTTCTCAGTAGTATGTCTCATTTGACATGGAAGAAGCAATTTCACATGCTTACGTCAGATTTAATGTATTTCAGATCTCATTAAACCAGCCTGGTCGATGGAAAGGAATTAATCTAATAGAGATTTATATGACCTTGGGGGAAGGGGAGGAATTTTAATCTATAAATGTAATGACGATAGTAATATCGAACTAAAAGCAAATATAATAATTTGAAATTCGGACTATTTCCAATGTCATCAACTAAGAAAAAATAAGACAAAAAGTTCCTCACAAGTAATTTGAAGTTTATACATTTAGCAAAAAATATCTATATCGTTATTGCAATGAATATGTACCTTTCACTACAATCTATTATACAGCTTATAAACAATGAACAATTTTTGAGACCTCTGTAGCAAATTTTTACTAGTAATGAAGTCGGCCAACAATAAACAGTTTGTCCTAATACCTCTGTAGCAACTTTAACCAGTAATGGACAACAATAAAAAGTTTGCCCTAAGACTTCTGTAGCAACTTTAACCAGTAATGGACAAAAATAAACAGTTTGTCCTAAGACCTCTGTAGCAACTTTAACCAATAACGAAGTCGGACAACAATAAACAGTTTGTCCTAAGACTTCTGAAGCAACTTTAACCAGTAATGGACAACAATAAACAGTTTGTCCTAAGACCTACGTAATAACTTTAATCAGTAATGGACAACAATAAACAGTTTGTCCTAAGACTTCTGTAGCAACTTTAACCAATAACGAAGTCGGACAACAATAAACAGTTTGTCCTAATACTTCTGTAGCAACTTTAACCAATAACGAAGTCGGACAACAATAAACAGTTTGTCCTAATACTTCTGTAGCAATTTTAACCAATAACGAAGTCGGACAACAATAAACAGTTTGTCCTGAGACTTCTGTAGCAACTTTAACCAATAACGAAGTCGGACAACAATAAACAGTTTGTCCTGAGACTTCTGTAGCAACTTTAACCAATAACGAAGTCGGACAACAATAAACAGTTTGTCCTAAGACTTCTGTAGCAACTTTAACCAGTAATGAACAACAATAAATAGTTGATCCTAAGACCTACGTAATAACTTTAATCAGTAATGGACAACAATAAACAGTTTGTCCTAAGACCTATGTAACAACTTGAACGAGCAAAACACTCGTCAGCAAACTTATAAAGTTTATATTTCATATTACTTATATACATCCTTTTTATTGCGACTTGAATTTTTGTCTGTCTGTTCTATCTCTGCACGGACGACCATA